GACTGTATGTTCGGGACGTTCGCGTCCACGGATGAAGCCTGGAAGTGGCGCAGTTCACACATCAACGATCGTCTTGACGATGCCAGAATTCTGGCCACCATTCGTAAGCCAACACAAGATGATCCTTTCCAGTTCCTGGGCATCAAATGGTTCGCTAAAGAGCGACCTGCTGTGCTGTCGAGTATTATGCAGCAACGCGACTACCTCATCATGGAGGCGACGGGACTTACCCGTGACTCCAAGGGCGAAAAGATCGGCTACTACCTCATGCACTCCATCTCGCTGCCTGGTGTCCCGGAGCTCACGGATCTCGGTATCATCCGTGCTAAGTTGAGTTTGTGCTTCATTGATCGACAGAAAGGACCCGGCAAAGTCGAGAAATACGCTCGAAACTACAGTAACCCGGGAGGCAAGATCCCAGACCGCGTAGCTGCTGCAGTCGGGGCTGACGCCATCATCAGCGCCTCTCGTGTTGTCGACTATGCGTACGTCAAGAAGCTCACGTGGTTTATGAAGGAGAAAGGTCAGCAACAACGAGACTCGCGTCGCGAGGCGGTGCAGACGAAGCCCAAGCGCTGCGAGACGTGCTACAAGAGCTTCAGTATGTTTGCGCTCACCTCCACCAGTGCTTCATGCCAGATCTGTCGTCGTGCAATGTGTGCCAAGTGCAGCGTTGTCAAGAAGATGACTGTGGACGTGTCGAGCACTGGAGCAGTGAAGCAATGCACGCTCCGATTCTGTTTGAACTGCCTGATGGAAGCCAAGGAGAAATCCGTCTGGGAGATGGCGCTCAGTGGAGTGGAAACGGCGTCGGAGACCTCATCTGCCTCCGGCTCAGGATATCGATAGGGAAAAAATGTTGATTAGCCTGAATATATATCAAACCGTCGAAGTGAACCTGTTCAAAGTTCCCGAAGCATTTCATTTTCACCACGTGGATATACCTACGCTTGATATTGACCGATTTGACAACATCGGATCTCAAACGTACAGTATAATACCACCACATTGACATGTGAGTCAGCATTTTTTTCCTCGTACTTTTACGTACATGGACTAAGTACAAGATGATTGTACGCTATATCATCGATAAACGTTGATTGGAAGTTGCTTCGCTGTACT